TGGTAGAGAAAAATGACGTAATGCCCAACCACCGGTTGAACGGTGGTAGAGAAAAATGACGTAATGCCCAACCACCGGTTGAACGGTGGTAGAGAAAAATGACGTAATGCCCAACAACCGGTTGAACGGTGGTAGAGAAAAATGACTTAATGCCCAACCACCGGTTGAACGATGGGTAAACACTTGTAACTGTTATACAGTGACATAGCCTGTTCAACTGTCGATCTCTATGCCTTGAGCAGAGAGGAACCCGGACGACGCTTTGCCAAAGTGTAAAGTGCCATCCGGGGACGCAGATAGGCCCGGACACGTTTATCCGGGTTCTACGGGAATATTTTTGGACGAATCTACGAGCTCGGAGAACCCACAGTAAACTCGACGTTGTGCCACATACATCCTTCGTGGGTGGGGGTGGGGGCTGTTAAATATTAACGATTGTAACTGTTTTTATATCTACCGTGAAACATTAAATATCAATTATTTATGAACTTTGAATTAGGAGCTCAGGCAGAAGGATTAAAATTGTTCAGGAAAGCAGGACTTTCATCCTAGAATTTCAGTGTAGTACAATCCCTTCATTCCAGATACGTTTCTGTAGGATGCAAATTTCGGATAAAAATATTATGAAGTTGCTAATGAAATAAATTTGCTGAGTCCCAAAATCATTAAAGATTTAGTTGAAGTGATTCATGTTATATAATAAAAAAAAAGTGTCATCTAAAAATATCTTTTTTCTTCTATAGACGCAGGGGTGTGTCGGCGAACATGCGCAATAAAAGGACCCCCTCCATCCCCCAAAATTCTATTAGCCTGGGCTTCTTTTAAGTCTTAAATCCGACCCTGCGAACATCCCATTATAAGTAATTTATTCAAATCGATGGATCTAAGAGTACGAATCGTATAAGTCGACAGCTTTTATTCTATGTATTATCTCCAACTATTGTTCTCAATTTGGTTGATATAGATGCTATTACAGATACAACGTTTCGACCAAATACGCCAGCATCTCGAAGGATATAAGAATTGGTTATACATATGATACTGGCATCTAGTAGTCATGAGTTCAATCTTTGGATCATGTAGTGAAGCACCCATTCAGCATAGTCCTGTGTATGACGATAAACTACAGCCGGCAGCAAGGCTACTGATCAAGAGATTTGTGGTTTTGAGAAACGCTGAACCACCTCTTAATAGCCGTTGTTTGCAGGCCCATCCTGACCCGGAGTGGTAGCAGCTGTTAGTGTCTCAGCTATGGGCAAATATTGACCCCCACCTTAATCGAAAGCAAAATGCTATGAATGTATTAAAACACAAGCTATATTTTTTTCTATAAAAAATTACCAACAATAAATATTTATAGTAAAATGACCAACGGTACATTCAATCTCTTGCTTGAGGTATACAACTGCGCTCAAAATATTTAGATTTCGGCATTAAATAATCCATAGAGGTTGATATGCCGCTAAACAAAACCAACCGACCATCTAAGCTATTCAGCAGGAACATACAATAATTTACATCACAGAAAAAATCATATCGCAATAACGAACAGATATCGCACCTGATGATGAACAGAGGGTACTTGGTTGAAACGTCGTGCCCATAATAATATCGCTATCAACCAAGTGAACAAGAGTTTGAAATAACACAAGAACATTGAGAATTACTCATCTAAGAAATGAAATACACAGCTACAAACTTTGCGATATTGTGCGTAAATGCGTAAGTGGTGTTGAGCAAAGGTTCTCACAAAATATTTAATTTTTCACGCATCGCTTAGTCTTCATCCATATAAGTACTGACTAGATTCAACGTTGCTTTATTCCAGCGAGTGGACTATGAATCTGTACTTTTGTGATATCAGTCCTCCTATATGGAGGTTAATGCTGGACAATCTCATCAAAGATAGAGACGATACTTGAGAAAACAGAAATGTGGTTCAACAGAAGGATGCTGAGAATACTATGGAATGGACACGTGAGCAACGACAGAGTATTACCGAAAATGGAAACAAAAAGAACAGCGTCAGAGAAGAGACAGTTAAAATTTCTAGAACATCTAGCGGAAAGAGAGCTTGGAAACTTTGACACCCACAGGACATATTGAAGGCAAGGGGAACAGAAGAAAGCAGAGCATAAGCTAGGTAATGAACTTGTGTAAATGCTTGGCAGAATAAGGATTAGGGAGATGTCGCAAAAAAAAAAGAAATTTACTTAAAGGCTACAAAGGATAGGAAGTTGTGGAGAGTCATGATCACTCAGGTTCTAAAGGGATACGGCATATAGAAGAAGGAGAAGCTTAAGTAGATGTACCGTTTACCAAAAAGTCTACAAGCTGTTTATAGCAGCTGATGTTTCAAAGCGGTTACCCATCTAGATGTTGACCTATTTCGACGCTGCTTACCTTCATAACAAATAAGAATTTGCAATGTTATTGGTCGTGACTTGGCATTTCGGCTTCGGTCAATTTACGAGCGCCGTAAATAGCTTCCCTGTGCCTTTTTCTATAAATACTTTCTGATGATCTTTCCTCTTTGGTACTTGGACTTCATGGATTTTAGCGCAGTACTAGATTGGCGGCTAGGTCTCATCATTTAATCGTTGAAACAGCTGGAGGTAACCGTAACTTCTGTCTTAACAGTTTCTTCACTAGCACTTCTCGCTTGTAGAAACACTTCCCTGAGAATATAAGCGCAGTACTTATATTCGCGGCAAGGTCCTATCATTTTAAATTGAAATGGCTATAGGCAACCGTAAGTTCTATGCTAAAAGTTCCTTCTCTCGCAATTATCGCTTATGAAATTTTCTCCTTAATTTGCAATCAAATGATTTTCAAAAATTAAATGCAATCCCAGTCGTTAAATTCTCTCTTCTTAATTCTTGTTCTTTTTATTTTTCTCTCTCCTTAATGGTGTTTTTCTCATATTTTTGTGCACTCAGTAACCCCTTGCGTCTTAGTAGATTTATTGCCTTGCTTTGGGCTGGAATGATTAAAAAAAACTTCGGAAAAGAGTAAAAAATAAATACATCTTTTAAAACGTTCTTAGTTTGGCACAAACAAACATCCCTCAAATCTACAAATCAACCATTCGCCCTTGCATGGCGTATTGCTGCCATATATATTGCTAGATAAACATATCAAGAGAACGTGATAGATATGAGCAGATTGAGATCGATATATAGATAGATACATAGATATAAATAGACTGGCATAGATAGATAGATAGATAGATAGATAGATAGATAGATAGATAGATAGATAGATAGGAATAGACTAACATAGATATGAATAAACTGAGCAAAATAACCTTATAAACAGAAAGTGATGGATGCGAGCAGATTGAGATAGATAGATATGAATAGACGAAGATAGATAGATAGATAGATAGATAGATAGATAGATAGATAGATATGAATAGTCTGACATAGATATTAATAAACTGAGCTAAATAACCATATGAACAGAAAGTTACAGATGCGAGCATATTGAGATAGATAAATAGATAGATATGAATAGACTAAGAAAGAAAGATAGATAGATAGATAGATAGATAGATAGATAGATAGATATGAATAGACTAAGAAAGAAAGATAGATAGATAGATAGATAGATAGATAGATAGATAGATAGATAGATGGCTATGAATAGACTAAGATAGATAGATAGATAGATAGATAGATAGATAGATATGAATAGACTAAGATAGATAGATAGATAGATAGATAGATAGATAGATAGATAGCTATGAATAGACTAAGATAGATAGACAAACAGACAGATAGATAGATAGATAGATAGATAGATAGATAGATAGATAGTGGTTATTTAACATTGTCTTGGTTCTAATGAAAAATCCCTTTCTGTGTTTCCCTAACTAGCCTTTGTCAGTGTTTCTGCGCATGCTTTTTCGCTATACGTTTACATTTCACGTCGGGAAGCAAAACATGTTTGGGTGACGTCACTTCAATTTCGCGGTTTGTTTCCTGTAAAATCGCTCCGTGCAACTCCATTTCTTTTCTTTCTTTTTTTTTTACCGTTCACTCAATTCTCTTTTAATTAATATTCATTTAATTAAGATAATTAGAGAGAAATTTCGATATGTTTATTAACTCATTATTATTGGATTTGCAGTGATCACTTTTTATTTCAAAGATTATCTCACCTCATCTCCACCGCACCCCTCTTTCTCTCTCCCTCTCTCTACCTCTCTTTCTTTCTCTGTTTCTCTCAATTTCACTCGCTCCCCCGCTGCTTCCTCTCTCTCTCTCTCTCCTGTATCACTTTCTGGAAAAGAAAAATTCAAATTCACACTCACGGAATATTGGCCTGAAAACTTTCATTAAAAGGCAAACAATTTTTTTTTAATAATAAAAGTTATATTTGTTAATTAATTTATATCTTCTTTTATTTAAATTGATTTTTTTTTCTTGTTCAAGCTGTGTTGTCCTGATTGCGATAATTAAATATAGCCTTATATCGGTCATCGACATACATTTCAAATACATTTTACCCCGCTATCCGAAAGCAGAACGTTCGTTAACCGAAATAGGCGTATAGCGAAGAAAGAAGTTAGCATTAATTTATACGTAAAAATGCTTGAGCGTTGACATTTTCGTTGCATTCATAGGTGTTGCAACGGCGCCTCGAATCTGCCTCGGCGTGAAGTCTTATATCGGTCATCGACATACATTTCAAATATACTTTACCCCGCTATCCGAAAGTAGAACGTTCGTTAACCGAAATAGGCGTATAGCGAAGAAAGATGTTAGCATTAATTTATACGTGAAAATGCTTGAGCGTGGAGATTTTCGCTGCATTCATAGGTGTTGCAATGGCGCCTCGAATGTGCCTCGGCTTGAAGTCTTATATCGGTCATCGACATACATTTCAAATGTATTTTACCCCGTTATCCGAAAGCAGGACTTTCGTTAAACGAAATTGGCGTATAGCGAAGAAAGAAATTAGCATTAATTTATACGTAAAAATACTTGAGCGTTGAGATTTTCGTTGCATTCATATGTGTTGCAGTGGCGCCTCGACAATTTTGATAAGCGTTTGATGTAATGGAATAACCAGTCACCCTATGAATAATTACACTATAGGTAGCAAGTCCCTATAAAGTCGACTGTCGACGAGAGAGACGTGAGAGTGAGACGGCGCAAACACGCCCGACCTTCCAATTAGTGGCACTCACTACTAGTGACCTGTGTGTATAACTGTACATTTCATATTGTACTTGTTGTGTATAATAAACCTTTCTTCTATTATCCACCTGGTGCTGAGTATTTGTTCCCTTAGTACGGAATATAACAGCGTTTTATCAGGGAATGGAAAATGCAACAACGAGAATCGAACAGCCATTCAGCAAGCGAAAGAGGCCTTTCAAATGCTAAAGAAGATTCTGTAAAACGGAAAAGAATTCGTTAGAAACCGATAAATGCTTTTTGATATCCACCCCTTTTATATATGTGAATGCTGGGCAATCGCACAACGGATTAGAAAAATGCTGTCGGCCGCGGAAATATGGTTCTACAGAAGAACACAAAATTCCATAGACAGAGCGAGTAAGCAGCAAGGAAATCTTAAAGAAAATGGCCACAAAACGAACACTTTTACTCAGAATCAGGAAAAGACAGCGGAAATATCTTGGACACATAATGAGGAAGGAGGGCTTAGAAAAATTAACCCACACGAGGCCTATTGAGATCAAGAGAGATAGGGGAATACAGTGTGTCACTCATCTGACGAGCTTGTATGAATGGATAGCGGAAGTGAGATCGGGGGCCTGAGTAAAAAAGGAAAACTTCTAAGAGACATACGAGATAGGACGTTGTGGAGAGCCATGTTCTGAAGGGACGCAGCACATTGAAGAAAAAGAAGAAGAAGAAGAAGAACAACAACAACAAGCGAAGATTGAATAAATGTGTAAGGTTTAAAGAGGGCATTGACTTGGATATAAACGGCTGTATGCTTTTACGATAGAAGTTTTAAATATCATCAGGACTATTTAAATTAACTGGTACTCACGTAAAATAAAGCAAGGATCCATTTTTGAGGGGGTGGATAAGTTTTGTTGATTAGCGTTTATTACACCTTCCTCTAGCCACGACATTTGTAAGAATCGAAAAAATATTGATGTTTTATCATTTTTGGTGGATTGAACTTATTAAAAATATAAATACCCTCTCAAATTAACCCCTGACCTCTTAAAAAGTTATCTGTACTTTGTATTTATTTACAAATGTCGATTTTGAAACTCTGCATAGCCATCAATAAATGCGTCGTACTGATGTCCCTTTTCCCAATTCGTAACAGGACGCAGTTATTAATGATGTAAACACAATTTCAAACTTAATATTTGTAAATTAAAATAAAAAGTACAGATAAATCTTTATGAAGTCAGGGATCGATTTAATAATATGATTTTATTATAAACATGTCCCCACTTATGAAATGATTTAAAAATCAATATTTTTCAATTTTGACAAAAGTCGTACTTCGAGGAACGTTTCTTGATTGCTAATCTACAACAAATTATTTTTAAAAATTCCTTATTTTTCGTGAGTGGATCTGTTAATTTTAGTAGTGTCCTGTCGTCTTGTGTCACTTTTAGTTTAATTCAAAAAGTATATAATGTCAAAATCTGATTTCTTTTAGTTCGTTCCTAAATAGCTTGCTCAATAGATGTTGCCTTTTATATTGAAATCGAAGTAACAGGCTTTCCGTTGAAAAAAAGAGCGCAATGGAGTAAGTTCTGTGATGAATGACAATATCTTTGTAAATTATTTTATATATTAACTAGCTTAAAATCTGCAATCCGTGCGTAATTTTAAGCTGGCTCCTGTGTAGAGCTAAATGGTCCTCCAGCCAAAAAATAAAGTAACCTCTGGTTCAACTTAGAAAACAGCAATGATAATTTTGAAGAAATAACTTTGAATTCCTCAATTCACTCCAAGGAACTTCAAAATCTCACTTTAACTCTGATTCCGGCTATAAGTACAATTCTGTGCAAAACACCGATTTGGACCGAAATTCTAATTCAGGCTGAAAATTGAGTTCTTCAAATAACAAACTGCGCGGAATTTCAAAACATCACGGAACCTTTCACTTTAACACTGAAAGAAATAAAATTGATTTCCACAATTCACAAAGTTTTGATAATTTAAACTGATTTAAAACAAGTTTTTTAAATTCACACAGTTTTTTGTGTTACATTAAATTCGATATAAATTAAATATTTCAAAATTACTAATTATTTTCAGTTATTTTAAAAGTTGAATTTTTAAATGTTCTCTCTCATCCGAACTCCAATCTTAATGATTGATCTTCAAACGCAGATTTTCAATCCTGGGATTATTCTGATTCCAAAAAGTTATATGTCTATATGGAGCAAGTGTGGACCAAGTCGGAAAGAATTTCAGACACAAGGAATTTAATTATTTAGTTTGGTTTGGTGTATATTGCTTTACGACACATCAATGCCAATGGATTATTTAATGCCGACAAGATCTTTACAATAGGTTCGTATGAATAGAATATGTATTCTTTGTAAGAAATCAGTTTGTAGATCAGGTTTCAATGACATATTTTTATAATGGGGTTTTTGTCGAGAGGGAAAAATTCCTGGTAATTTTTTTTTTTTATCGAAAAATGTATTGTTGGTATATTTACCATAAAATCTAGCTTTATATTTTTATAGTGCTTTGGCCACAGTTTGAGGGTTAACAATCCAATAATAGCTGGGATCCTAGCAAGTACTACCACCACGGGTCAAAACCTTTCGATCAGAGGCTTTGCTGCTGTATGTAGTTTATCGTCATACCCAGATAGGATTGAAAATACAGTAGGTGATCTTGTATAAAGTAAAATAAAATCAATTAAGAGATATTTTTAAAAAAGCAGAATATAATCTATTATGTATTTTTAAGGTAGGAGTCATTTTTTTTTAAGCGTTTCACCCCAATCAAGGTAGGAAGCCACTAGCACGCAAGGGGTTACAGAGAGTTGGAGCGAGAGCAAATAGGTGTGATAGAGGAAAGGATGAAGAGAAGGTTAGGGGATAGATCAGGGCATCTGGAGACGTCGATTGACGTTACAATTGAATAGTTGGAGATTATAGCTATCAGGAAAACAAGAACTGGGGAGGGAGTTCCACAGGCAGGAAGTGCGAGACATGAAGCTATTGGAGTAAAAGAGACGGCAACATTTAACAGTTTCGACAGTGAAAGGGTGAAAGCGAGATGCCAGCCTAGTTGAACGCTTAAATTCATGAAGTCAGGGAACCAACGAAAGCAGCTCATCGGAGCAGTTACCGTGAAAGTATTTGTAAAAAAAAAGACAGAGGGAGGCAACGGCACGTCTGTGAGAGAGCGACTGTAGACGAGATGCATGAAACAGAATTTCGCCGCTCGGTGTTGACATCAGTGTCCACTTTCATACACACACACACACACACACACACACACACACACACACACACACACACACACACATATATATATATATATGTATGTATGTATGTATGTATGTATGTATGTATGTATTTCTAAAGAATTGACTGGTCTTACCAGTGATACTCTTTGAAGAACAGAGATGATGTGTCTGGAAAGATGGTGGAGCAAATCCTCATTCGTTTTGATACTGCTTTTTTTTTTTTCATCGGGGTGACACGATTAGTTGGCCATCGGTGTATTTGTGTGAGGAGTCTTTTTGAACAACTATTACTATTAAAATTAACGTGTCTAAGTCGTATATACTTTTCTGTCTGAGTATTTCACACATCACCGTTTACCGACTTGCAAAATCCATCACACGATTACAAGTACTCAGTCA